CCACACTGATGGGCTGTCCCATCAAATCCTGGCCGTTGAGTCCCTCCATGGCAGCCTGGGCCTCCTTGTATGTTTCATACTCCACTAGAGTGTACCCCTGGGGGCAGGGGTGAAAGACAGGCATCAAAACCCTATTTTACCAAGAGTTATTGGGCATCCTCTTCTTCATATCTAAACTGATATTTAAATAGAGATGCATACAATCTTTCTAAAATGAACCATGTATACATCATGTATCCACATGGTCTATACAACGTATATGTTCTGTCTCTTGCTATGTTTAGCAAAATCACCTTCTAATGTGATTTTATTTCTACTTTGCTATTGGTCAAGCACAGTAAACATGCAAAAGCCACTACTGATTCTGCCTGTGAATTATGTGGGAAGAGAGTAATGGCATGTCACTTAGGATGCCTTCCGGTATGCTGCATGCCTGCCCATGACAAGACAGTCCCTGCCCTCTCCTCTTGTCCATGGGTAGATTCCAAACAAGCAAAACAGCCCAGGCCGATCAGCTGCCCTGTCATCTCAGCCCCGCCCCCCCCCCTTCCCCTTGATGCTGTGGATGCCTTTGAAGTGGAGAAGAAGGGATGAGAAGACACAAGCTGTGCACAACAAAACCCAAGCACAACCGTTGCTGTTGACTTGATTCTGACTCCTCATGTCCCTGTGTTTCACAAGAGGACTGTGTCCCATGGGGCGTTCTAAGGTGGCAGCCTTCCTATCTGCTTCCTCGCCAGGTCAGTGGATTCCAGCACTGCTTCCTTGCAAGGGAAAGCTGTGCTGTCCCCTGGGCGGTTTGTCTTCCTCTTGGGTCTGGGTGTCTTCCTGTCCTCCTGCTGGAGGAGCAGGGCTGTTGTCACGTGGAGATGGGGAAGCTGAGAAATGTGGAGGCTATCCTTCCTGCAAGAATTCTCCTTCTCGTTTGCGATTCAAAGATTAAAAAGAAAACAACCAAAAAAACTCACGGCCATCAAGTGGAGGCTGACTCATGGCCACCCTCTAGAACAGGGAAGAACTGGCCCTGTGAGTGTTGTAAGCTGTAACTCCATAGGGAGTCGAAAGCCCCATCTTTCTCTGGTTGAGCGGCTGGTGGTGTCGAACTGCTGACCGGGTCAGTCCCTGGCAACTTCAATGTTCTTTGCTGGCACCGTCGTCGTTCAAATGCATCCATGTTGCTTAGCTCTTCCTTATTCAACGTCCAGCTTTCACATGCAAATACGAGGCAATTGATAATACTACCGCTTGGGTCAGGCATACCTTAACATGCAAAGTAAGTCCTTATTTTTCAACACTTTAAAGAGGTCTTGCACAGTAAATTTACCCAATGCATTTGTTCTCTTGACTGCTGCTTCCACGAGCATTGATTGTAGATTCAAGCAAAATGAGAGCCTTGAGAGCATCAATCTTTGCTCTGTTTATTTGATGTTACAATTGAGTTGTAAATCACAATGAAGGCCGCCATCCTTAACCTTGACCGGCAAGTGCTTCAAGTCCTTCTTTACGTGCAGCAAGTAAGGTGTGTCATCTGAATATCGCAAGTTAATAAGCCTTCCTCAATCCTGATGGGCATTCTTCTACAGTAATCCCGCTTCTCTGATTATCTGCCCAGCATACAGAATAGGGAATATGGTGAGCGGATACAGCCCTAACGCACACTTTTTCTGATTTTAAATCATGCAGCATTCCCTTGTTCTGTGTCACTACTGCCTCTCGATCCATGTACCGGTTCTGCATGAGCATTATGAAGGGTCCTGGAATTCCCATTCTTCTCAAGTTATCCGTAGTGGCCGTGAGCCGCACGATCGAATGCCTTAGCAGAGTCAATAAGCACACAAGCCACCAACTCTCTGGTAGTCTCTGCTTTCAGCCTAAATCCATCTGGCATCAGCAATGACATCCCTTGTTCCACGTGCTCTTCTGAATCTGACCGGAACCTCTGGCAGCCCCCTGTCAATGTCCTGCTGCAGCTGTTGGTCTTCAGCAAAATTTCACTTGCATGTGATACTAATGATATTGTTCTATACTTTGAGTAGTCTGTGGGGCCACTCTTTTTTTTGGAATGGGTACAAACATGGATCTCTTCCAGTCAGATGGCCAAGTAGCTGTCTTCCAATTTCCTGGCGCGGATGAGGGAGTGCTTCCGGTGCTTCACCAGCGTGTTGAAACTTTTCCATTGGTGTTCCATCGACTGCTGGAGCCTTCTATTTAGCTAATGCTTTCAGTTTGGTTGGCCTTCTGGCTTCAGCATCATTGATTCTTGCCCACATGCTACCTCCTGAAATGGTTGAATGTGAATTAGTTCTAAATCTAGATTTAGGACTATCCTGTAGTCCCCCAAAGATATCCCTCATGTCCATTAGTTGCCAATACTCATTGTCATGCCCAGCCCCAGGCAACCACTACTCTAGTTTCTATAGAATTTCCTTCTCTGGATATCTAATAAAAATGCAATCATACAATATGAAGTGTTTTGCATGTGACTTCTTTTCCTTCACATAAAAAGTTCGAGGTCCATCTGTATTGTAACATTCCTTTTTATTGCTCAATCGTATCCTATTATATGGAGTTACCACGTTTTGTTTCCACTTCCCCGCTTTTCTCAATAAATATTTCTATGAGCATTATATGTGCTCAAGTCTTTGGATAATCAAAGGGGTTATAGCCTCCCTCCATGTCTTTAAGTGCCTGAAACATCCCGCCGACAAAGGCCTTTCTCGCCACTGGAGCATTTGCCCAGGTCACCACTGGTCAGTTATGCCACTGGGCCTCTTTACACCTCGACTGTCTTTCATTGCTTCATGCCGAGTGGGGTTTTCAGTGTGACTCAGGCGGTAAGTTCGTTTCCCAATGACCTTTACTCCCTGTTTTCTCATAGCATTCCCAGTACTGCCACTGTTAATTCAGTTCCACTCTGAAGCAGACATCAAGGAGGGATCAGAGATTTCTAAGGGGAAACGCCTCTGAAAGAGAAGTAGTAATGCACACAGATCCCCATGGGTTGACATCTGAAACGGGAGAGAAAGAAGACGGGACTGGGTGGGAAGAAGAGTCTGCCTGTAGCTCCATTCTGAGAAAGTCTTGGCCAGGCCATAGGACCCCAGAGCCAAGGTGGCCTGCTCGGGGAACCCTGTGTCAGACAGCAATCGCTGCCAGGCCTGAGAGGGGTCTGTCCACAGAGGACTGGGAAGCCCTGCAAGGCTCAGTGGAGCGGAGATGGTGCCCTGTCCTGAAGGGACACTTTGCGCAGCCTTCCTGATCCTGATCTCAAATGGACCTTGATCCCAAGTTATAACCTGTTACTCCTCTAATAAGCCCCATAACTATTGGCATGGTCTGTGAGTCCTGTGTGACCGTTACAACAAATGATCAACTCCAATAGAGATGTAGGTGCAGTGGGAGGGGCAGCTGGTGTTAGGACTGGTTGGAAAGTAAAGTGGTTGGAGAGAGGCGATGTCTGACCTCTACCTCGTGGGGATCAGTCTTGGGTTGAAAGTGATGATTCTCTCTCTCTCTCTCTCTGGATGCACACACACACATGAAGGTAAATATGGAGGTGAGGCATCACTTCCACACCACTTTTATAGCTGTATAGCTATGAATATTTTCAACAACAAAAGAATAAAGTCTGAAAAGAGGTATGGCTGCAAAGTGACGAAGACCAAGGCTAATTAAAGATAGGTGTCCTTGCTATTGGAGTTTTGTCCTCTGTGTAGAGTCCTTTCACAGCTGCCAATTGTCCTCATCTTGGATCACCTGGCATCGGAGAAAGATACTTTAAGAAGATCCGCGATGGTGATTCTAGCAACAGTAAATAGACCGTTACAGCTGAAAAGGGGGACAGACGTGAGCACGAAGGCCCTAGCCTCTTTCTTTGTGGTTCAGATTCTTACCTGTCAGGGCCAGGAGAAGGAAGGCTCCGATGAAATACAATAGAAAGACTTTACAATGTTAATCCAGCTGTACCTTGAACTTTATGGGCCACCAGTTCAAAGATGGAACATATGAGTGATTTTTCTTTCTCAAAAGATAGATTATTCCTTTAGGATGCTAGAAACAAACAGAAAAACAACCCTACAAGGAAATAGGCCACCACGTGTCTGTCCGTTTGGCAGACTGGGATGGCTTGTGGGTTGCTGCGATGCTGGAAGCTGTGGTATTTCAAATGCCAGCAAGGTTGCCCAGAGTGAGCAAGTCTCAGCAGAGCTTCCAGGCTAAGAACAGACTGAGAAGAAGGACGAGGCTGTCCACTTCAGGGGAATTAGCCCCGGAAAACCCTGTGGGTGGTTTGGAAACACTGTCAGTGACAGAGACCGAATGAACAGACGTAGAGCACTGTCAGGGAAAGAGCCAGAAGATGAGCCCCCGTCTTCGGAGAAGGCACTCAGCATATGACTGAGGAAGGGTAGCTGCCTTCTCAAAGAATAGTCGACCGTGTCGTAGGGATGCACTGAAATTCTAGTTGGGGTGAAGAATACCGAGTGCACCATGTATGGCCGGAAGGATGAACAAATGCACCTTGGAAGAAGCAAGAATACAGCCAGAATGTTCCTTGGAAGTGAGAATGGCCAGACTTTGTTTCACATATTTGGGGCATGTTATCAAGAACAACTAGTCCCTGGAGAAAGACGTCATTCCTAGTAAAGTAGATCCATGAAAAAGAGGAAGACACTCAACCAGAGAGAACAACAACGGACACAAACGCCGCACTGATTGTGAGGATGGCGCCGAACCAGGCAGTGCGGCCCCCCCACCCTCCCGCAGCGCAGAGCTGCTACGGTCGGAAGGCACCTAACAACCAAATCAGACCCAGGGAGGCTGCTTACCGCCTCTCCTGGCGAGTGAGTCCCAATGAGCTGCATCTGTTCTGTCCGCAGGGTGGTTGTGAAGAACCTCCATCTATAATTAACACGCTGACATTTCAGGCCTCTCTCAGGTTGGGGACCTGAGAGCTAAGACTTTTCTTAAGCAGAGGTTTGCAGAGCGAGTGGGTTTTTCCTCTCAACAGTTCACCTACATTGTCTCGTGGCCTGGGTTTGCAATCCTGCCCTGTAATACCAGTTACCCTCTGCTTCCCTGTGCTACCTGCCGCCCTGCCTCCTGCCTGCCTGCAGCTCCCTGCTTGCTGAACGCTGTCTTTGGGTAAACAATGATTTCTGGATCTCAAATGGATACTTATTCTGAGAAATGGGTTATTGTTCACTAAGTAGACTTACTGTTTAACTAAAAATTGAGCCTTTGGGGTGAGCTCATTTCCAGACTGAACATTGACAAAGGGCCGTAGTCTCAGGGGTTCCACTAGCCTTTACAAAACTAGCAAGACTGGTCTTTTTTGATTATTTTTATGTGGTTCCGCATTTTTCTCCCACTCTGTCCAGGTCCCTTTCTGAGTGGTCAACAGTGGTCGCTGGGCACCATCTAATTCTTCTGTTCTCAGGGCAATAGAGTCGGAGTTTCTCATGGTCCATTAGGTCTAAGGACTAATTGGTTTTTTTTTGTTTTTTAATCATTTTATTAGGGGTTCATACAACTCATCACAATCCATACACACATCAATTGTGTAAAGCACAT